AGAAAGTTGGAGTCTCATATCAGCTTCGGCGTCCAGTCTATTGCGATATTTTGTTTTCGTGGCTGCGTAGGTAGAGAATCCTGTTTCGCACAAATATGTAGTTGGGAACGGGAGAAGAATATCCAGAGCCATTTGGCCAAGCATTGCATATTCATCTTGGATTCTGCACCAAAAATCATTAAGAGGCGTCGTTTTGAACAATGACTCCATACTTGTGTCTGATGACATTTCTAAAAGAGATTCATATATCTCATTTGACATGTTTTCAGGCTTTTCCAAGTTGGGTAAAAAAGGATTATGAATCCAGGAGTTCACTTTAATTTTTGTATTGTGTTCTTCGGGAAAATACTTTTCAAAAGATGCGCGCATCGAACTGAGATATTGGACCAATTCTTCAAACACATTATCTTCAAACATTTCTGAGTCGTTTTCGCTAACAAACTCAGTGAGTAACGTAAAACTTTCTATTTCTTTCTTACCAATGCAAATGATCCAAAAATCTAATTTTCTTTTAAAAGTAGTTATTTTATTATAGGCCTGAAACACTGTTGTCTGTTTACCTTGCAATGATAAATTTAATTCGTTAAGTTTTTGAAAGATATCCGCCATAAAAGACAATCGGAACAACCAAGTTTTATCATACAAACGGTCCTTCAAATTAAAAGAAGTATCTGCTGAAAGAAACATTTGTAACTCGGCTCTAAGTTCAAATAGCCTTGTTAAAGTTTTTCCCCGAGACAGCCATCGCACTTCTGTAGGGAGCAGCAGTGTTTTATGTTTGCTGCCATAATCTTCACACAATAATGAGAACAATCGGGATTGTAGTGGTCGTGATTTGATAAAATTAATTATTTTTACCGCTTCATCCATAACTAATTTTAGATTAGACGGCATTTGCTTCATCGCAAGTGCTTGTCTATGCAGAATACAATGACTGGAACTACAATTAGGCGCTTTATTTTTCATTCGTGACACTGCTCCTGCTGTTTTACCTGTCATCGCCTTGGCCCCATCTGTACAAATGTCAATGCAATTGTTCCAACTGAGATTATGTTCTTCAAAAAATATATTTATTTTATTAAAAATTTCTTCCCCGGTAGTGTTTGTAAGCAGCGATGAACACATAAGCATGTCTTCTTCAAAAGAACTTTTATATGGATATCTCACAATAACCAGCAGGATAGCCAAACCAGCGACATCAGTCGACTCGTCCATTTGCAAAGCGAATCGTGTATTTTGTAGACGTGTAACTAGTTCTTGTTTGACGTAGCTTGCCAGATCATGGATTCGTCGTGAAACAGTATCGTTTGATAGCGGAACAGTAGAAAGATGCTTTGCAGATTTTTCATCAAGCATACATTTTGTTATGTCTAATACACATGGTTTTATTAATTTCTCAGCGATAGTGTGCGCTTCACCTGCTTGTGCAATGCGATAGCTAACTAAGTATGATGCCTCCGTGGCCTTTTCGTTGGTAGTTTGTGTTACATGCATCATATTTTTTTGACTTTCTAATAACTGATCTTTTTTGCGAACAAAAAATTCTTTATTCTTGTCTTTAGTCTCGGGGTGTACGGTTTCTAAATGTCGACGCAATTTGGCAGGTGCCATGGAACTATTAGGAAGCAGTTTACTACAGAGCATGCAGAGAGGTGAGCCGTTGGAATCAACAAATCCGAAACTGATATAAGATTCATCATACTTCCTTTTTTTCGTCTTTGAAACCGTCGAGCTTGACGTCGTGGCACTCGTGGCATCATCTTCTGGATCGGTGATTGCTAAATTCTCCGCGCGCATTGCTTTTGAACATTCAGCGTCATTAGAAGATGTTGTTGGAACACGTTTAACACCTTTAAGCCAACGTTCCATTCTTCTTTATTTATAATGTTACAAGTCAGGATAGTGGGGTTTAAATAATGCACAATCGTTACTGCGTATAAGAGACTAAATTTAGAACCTACAGGGAAGAAATGTATAAAACTGAGACAACAGAATACAGCAGGCAGTAAAACAATGAACACCAGTTTCTCGCTAGCGAGCTTGTAAGTAGGTAGTAACTTATCGCTCCGAACGCTAATCATCAACTGACGACGCCAACGCGCGATCGCCGCTTTTATACTTAGTCCTAGACTCGATCTCAAATATTCTCGAAAATACTCGAGTCGGCACCTTTGATAAACAAAAAGCAAAAATAAAAACAGAAATTTAAAAATAGCGTTGTAAACAATATCGACTTTATCCTTTGAAGTTAGAGACGAAGTCGCTAGTTGACAACTATAGCGTCTAATTCAGAGGCGGCTTTTATCAAAGAGACTGAGCGCTTACAAGTATACTACCCGCTCGTTTTAAGTTTGCCGCTGGCGATAGGTATGAGTGTATGACGTTCGAAATTTTTTATTTAATTGTAACAATAAAAATTGTGTACGTTAGATATTTGGGTAAAACTATGACACATTATAAGTTTTGTTGTCACGTGGGGGAGGGTACGCGCATTCCACAGACCGGCAAACTTAGAGCGAACGCGTTGTACAAGTATAAAATTGTTGAGACCAAACTTATGAGATATTGTACCAGCTAATGTAACACAAGCTTATACAAATACAAATAAATAAATAAATAACATTCATAGCGTTTTGTCTCCGCGCGGCCGCGGAGTCCGCACAGCCGCGGAGCGACCAGAGAGAGGTGTTTTGATTTTTTTATTTCTAAATTCTTGCGGAACCCCGACAGAGGTATCACGGAACCCTAGGGTTCCGCGGAACACACTTAGAGTATAGCTGCTGTAGACTATTAGCACTAGAGTGCTGTAAATTTGTGGAGATATGTAGGTATATCGATCAGGGCGACCCGGGTCGTGCGAGCGTATCGCACGGTCAGCCACGGCGCCGCCTGCGTACTCGCGGGTGCGACGCCGTGGGATCTCGATGCGCAGGTCCTGGCAGACGTGCATCAAGGTCGGGTTGAAGCCAGGGAGCGGGGTGAAAGACCTGTCCCAGCAGAGCTGCGGCAGGTCCGTTCTATCGCGCAGGCAGAGGCCTTGCGGCGATGGGATGAGGCACTCGCCCAAGTGAGCGCCGGCCACCGGACGATTGAGGCTATTCGTCCGGTGTTGGAGGAGTGGGTGGGTCGCCGGCGCGGCGGCCTCACGTTCCGCATGGTGCAGATCTTGACCGGGCATGGATGCTTCGGTCACTATCTGCACCGTGTCGCACGTCGGGATTAAACGCCGCAATGTCATCACTGCGGTGCCCCGGACGACACGGCCGAGCACACCTTATTGGAGTGCCCGGCCTGGCGACACCAGCGCCGCGAGCTTATCGTGGCGCTGGGATGCGGAGCCCTCTCGCTGCGGTGTATGGTGGAGGCCATGCTATGCAGCGAGAGGGCGTGGGAGGATGATCCTCTGGCCGCTCCCTCCCGCCAAAGAAGGGCGGGTAGGAGAGGACGTCGGCGCGCCCTGGCTGCGCCCGTCCCGCTGCTATCCGGGGGGTCCCTCGCTGACCGGCATAGCTACAGCTGTGCCGGCTACCGACGGACCCCGTGACGGCAGCCCCCCCTTGTAGTTCTGTCCTGCAAAGAGGGGGGCGGCGGAGGGAGCTACATGGGCACGCCCAAGTAGCCCTCCGCAGCGGACGGGGGGCGGAACGGTGGGCACTAGGCCGCGTACTCAGCCCCCACGCGCGGGCCGTCCTGCGCACGTCTGCGGGGTCCCCGCGATACCCCGGGAAACCCCTGCCGCGGAGCCCCGGCAAGGCCGGGAGGCTACTAGGTGCGGAGACGCGGAAGAACCCCTAAACGGGGATCCCACGGCTTCGCACTAAGCAGCGTAGAGGGTGTCCGCAGGGTTTTTTAGCGGATATTATGCCGTAAAGCGCCCGTAAGGATTACGGGGTCCTCAGTGGGCAGCCACTGCTGGGGCTCGTAAGGCTTGCGGGAGCCAGGTGTGAGGTCCGTTCGGCGGTGTGCCTCTTAAAGGCGCCGTCGTCTGTAAATAGTATTTTTATGTATATCGATCAGGCCGGCAAAATGGTACAATAAAATAAAAAAAAAATTAGGCTAGTTCCCCTACGTGTTACCTGCGGATGATTTTTTTTTCATTATCTACCCCAGAGTGTAGAATATCGTTGAATAGGCCCTTTTAAATAACCTAGGGGTTTCTAAGACTATTTTTCGAATTAGGGAAGTTCCGTTTGCGCGAAGTATTGAACTTTAAAGTGCTTAATTTTTGTTTGAGTAGACGTGTAAAAGCATAACTATTGGCTTGAAAACCTGGAAAAATCCATGGAAATAGTGCTTTTCATGAACTTTTACGGAAAACTATAACGGTTAAAATTGATTTGTTATTTTAAGAGTATTAGTCGTTAACTTTGGTTAAAGAAAATTCCTTAAAGGAAATCATTAATAGTCGGATCCAGTATCTAGATACATGCTGGATTTGTTAAGAACATTTCGCGAGGAATATTCCACGCAGGCCAGGAAAAGCAAACCTCGATCAATTTGATGTCGATAAAAGATCCATTATTTTCTCCATACAACTCTGCCCAATGTAACCAAATTTTTAACCTCAAGTATTATCATACATTTATGTGCAGAAAAACACACCGAGTTCAATTAAAATAAAAAATGGAATTTATTTTCCACTTGTAGTACGAAGTGCGACATAAAAATGTCGTTTAAACATTTAAAGTAATGGCAACATAGACTTTATTTTATGGTTAATGTGCATCTTTTAATTAACTGAAATAAGCTTAGAAAATCATTTTAAAGTCAACTTCTTCTGATCAGACTTTTACCAATTTCTGTTGAATTTATTGAGATTTGAAAAAAATGTACCAAGGTACAAAATTAGGTAGAAATCGAAGGTCTCCTTTTATTATAGATAGTTGTATGGTGTGACAAAGGCAGCTACGGATTTATGGAAAGTCAATTCCTAGTGGTTTTAGAAAACTATTAACTTAATTCGAAGATATTAAAGGTTCTAGTATGGCTTTGTTTCACAGAAATCGGGATGCAGAGGTATGCGAGCTGGACGCTGTGCGTGGCCCCGAGGGAAGGTCGTCGGAGGTTCCTCTGTACTCCACTCCATGATGCACACAAGAGGAAACCGTCGGGACTACGATAGATGGGCTGCTAACGGAAATCCAGGTAAGGTACAATTTGACATTTTCACACGCCTCATCGACGCCTCAGGGGATCCAAGGGCTGGCGCGCATTTCGGACAAAGGTTGAGCCTGGCCATTCAACGGGGAAATGCCGCCAGCCTCTTGGGCACCCTACCCTGCGATCGCAGCGATTTGGGGTCGATTTTTTATATAATATAGTTTATTTTTAGTTTGATATAAGTATTTACTTTATTTAGTAGTTTTAATCCATTTTGTGCTTTTAAATAATATATTATTTTAGGAACTTTAGCTATTACTTAGTTTATTTTTAAATCTGTATCACCACTGTTAGTTTGTAATAAATAATCTTCAATGTACAATAAAAAAAAATCCCTTCGTTATACAGAAAACTGAAGTTCATCATTACAAGCATACGAGTATATAACTTAGCATTCAAATCTAACTAATTGACCCATTTGATAGTGCTGTGTAACTGTATAAGACAATGTTGTTAAACAAGTTTTTTTATAGGTTGGAATTACAAATCGGTACTGAAATATTTCAAGAGATCAGAAAATATGCAGATACCGGAACTGGCGAGAGACAGACGTTTCCATTCTACTAAGGGTGAAATGACACTTACACATCCTAACTGGAGGACGCCACTTTCAGACGCTTTCTTAAAAGCTGGTGTTGAAACGGGAGGAAAAATAGTAGATTATAATGCAAAAACACAAATAGGATATTCAATCATACAGTTTACGATGAACAATGGCACGAGAATGAGCACCAGTAAAGCATTTTTACATCCTATAAAACACCGTACTAATCTGCATATCGCAAAGAATGCGATGGTGACACGAATACTCATTGATCCGAGCACCAAGAGCGCATACGGCGTGGAATTTTATAAAAATCATAAAAAGTATGTCATATCAGCTCGAAGAGAAGTAATTCTTTCTGCTGGCGCTATAAACTCTCCACAATTGTTAATGATTAGTGGCGTAGGACCAAAAGAACATTTGACCGAGAAGAACATTACGACTATTGTCGATCTACCAGTCGGGTACAACTTACAAGATCACTGGGCCTTGGGAGGACTTACATTCGTGATTAACACAACTGATTCTATTAGATCTGAACGAATAGCGACATTTGATAATATTATCGAATATTTCAGTCACCATACAGGACCTTTATCGGCGCCTAGTGGAACTGAAGCACTTGCTTTTATCGACACTAGGAACCCTAATGACGAAGATGGATACCCTGATCTTGAGTTATTATTTGTGGGAGGCTCTTTAGTATCGCAGCCAACTTACAAACAAGCGTTTGCCATTGACGAATCTATATTTGATCAAGTATACGGGTCTATCAGAGACAAAGATACTTGGATGGTGTTTCCAATGCTATTATTACCCGAGTCGAAGGGAAGAATATTGTTAAAAAATAAAAACCCTTATTCGAAGCCAATTATCCATGCAAATTACTTTTCGGACAATGGACACGATCAAGAAGTGATACTGTATGGTATTCGGAAAGCGATAGAACTATCTAAAACAAAGGCGTTCCAGAAGTTTGGCAGTAATCTTCATGATGTGCCTTTGCCTAATTGTGCGCAAAATATATTTAATTCGGACGAATATTGGTTCTGTGCTATGAGAACAATCACAAACACGATTTACCATCACTGCTGCACAAACAAAATGGGGCCCAGAGATGACCCTGAGGCAGTGGTAGACCCTCGTCTAAGGGTTTATGGTGTGAGAGGTTTACGCATAGTAGATGCTAGTGTGATGCCTCATGTTCCAGCTGCCCATACGAATGCCCCTACAATGATGATAGCTGAAAAGGCGGCAGATATGATTAAGGAAGATTGGGGTTTCTTAAATCCGTAAATTGCTTAGATATTTTCTGTGAGCCCAGTTACTTTTAGGTTTCCGTACCCTAAGGGGAAAAACGGGACCTTTTACCAAGACTCCAATGTCCGCCTGTCTTTCACCAGACTATATGCCATGAACCGTGATAACTAGACAGTTTAAAGTTTCACAGATAATGTACTTCTGCTGCCACTATAACAACAAACACTAAAAACAGAATAAAATAAATATTTAAGTGGGGGTCCCATACAACAAAAGTGTTTTTTTACTATATTTTTTTTTGCTATATATTAACAACGGCAACAGGTAGACACTTAGAATATTTACTGAATATTTAGTTGCATATTCACTTAAAAAATAAATAATTAGAGTAAAATAAAAGAAATATTAAGAGCGGCAAAAATTCACGATTGTTGTACTGTTGTATGGGAGGGTTTTTTCTCGATATTATAATATATTGTCTTATTGTGTATAGTATGTCTGTTTGTATGTGTATAGATAATTGAAGGCAAATTTATTCTATACGTTTGTTTTGATAACATACTGTTGTCTTTTACAACTACTTTATAATGCAGCTGAACTGATTGATCGAACCCTTCTCAGTAATGCATTTGATTTTGTTAGACACAGAATGTGCCAAAACTTGGCACATAAAGGAAAAGTACCTTAAATCCTGAGACAATTTTACCGAAAGAAGACTTTATGTTTATTTCGAAAACAATAAGATTAGCATTCAAAGAATTTTGAACAATTCTGCATGAACTCGAAGCAAACCCGCTAAATGTGAAAGAAATTACCTGTAATTTTACTGAACCGATCAAAATAGTTCTGCCTCTCTCTCTCTCACAATGTAAATATTTTTTCTCAAACATCTGTGGAAATGCGAGCATTTTTTTTACAACCTTCTTCGAGGTAAATCGAAATTGCTGTACTGGCCTAATACATGCTCGCAGCGGCCGGCAAAAGTCCTCCGGTCTGATAAGACCGATTCCTATACTGTGCTGATCTCATAATGAACAAATATCAAAACCATCTTTTCCCAAAATGACTGATTTTCTAAATATCTTTGTTTTAGAATTCCGGAAGTAACACTATTAAATTCATGTACAGTTAGTTACACTTTATTTCATCATCATCATCATCATCAACCCATGCTCGTCCACTGCTGGACATAGGTCTCCCCTAATGCACGCCACTGCTCCCCATTTTCTGCCGTTCTCATCCAGCCCACTCCAGCCAGCCTATGAATATCATCATGTCATCTTGTCTCAGGGCGTCCTATACTACGTTTACTGAGTCGCGGTCACCACTCAAGAACTTTCCAGCTCCAACAGCCGTCAGTTCTGCGGCTAATGTGACCAGCCAACTGCCACTGCAGTTTGCTAATTCGATAGGCTATGTCGGTGACTTTGGTTCTCTGTCGGATTACATCATTTCTGATGCGAACTCTCTGAGCGACTTTAAACTTATAATAACAAAAATTATGTATTTTTTTTGAGAACTCTTCTTCAACTATTAATGTAAATCTCTTTTATACAGTATAAAAAATTAGGTCTAAAAACAGTAGTGTCTAAAAAATATTAAAAATAGCCACTTCGCACGGGCAGTTTTTTTTTTAACAAGTATTGATGGAGGGACAACCTAAAAGTAATAGAGTTTACATAGAATTAAATGTGGCTTATTTGATTATCATGCATATTCCCTATTACGTGAATTATTTGAAATCTACTCTACCATTTAGCATGAAATTGGTATAGAGGTTAAAAAGTCATGAAGGAAGGAGTTGTTCCGTATATTTGTTCCATGGGAAGCTTTCTAGGAGCGGTTCTTATGTTTATTCTTAATAACTGCTACTGTTTAAGACTTTATTCTGTTATTTTTTAGGTACTCGAAAAATTAAATTAAGAGTTATGTAAGCTTTGTATCTATAAAAATTGACATAAGATCTTAAAAAATACTATTTTAGGGTAAAAAAAATTTTGGTGAGAGTATTAAAGATTTGGGACACATTCGTCAGATTTCTTTTTCGTTAGAATAAATTATAGGCTTTTGTTTTGGCGAAAAAAGATTCCTCTTTGGACAGAATAAACTATGGTAAACTTTTACAATATTTATTTGTTACTTACGTCAAGAAAAACAATACGCTTCATCTAATCTTATTAAGTACTAAACAAATAATATATTCAATGTTAAGCATTTATTTGCTCTATTTATAAATCTAACGAAACTTGAAGAATGATAAAAATGCGCTTATGGTTTAACTTTAATATTCCAGTTTACTAGACTAAGATTTTCTCAGTATAATAATACTCTTTTTTATAATAAAAGCTCATTATGTTTTTCCATCATGGATCTGGCCAATGGATCTTCTAAGATTGATCCGTTTATCCTTGACCATAAAACTAAAAAAAATGATGAAATTTTGAAGAAAGATTTACGAGTATTCCAAACAAATTTATGAAATAAATGTTGTCTCATTTTCATATGATCTAAGCATTTTCATCATCCTCTTTTTTTCGACGCTATGTTATTAAAAAGAAATATATGTATGTATATGAGTGGGCCTCACGATTTTTAAAATAGAATTATAAGGGATACCCTGTTCATATAAGCGCTTGTTTAAATTTCTTTGAACGCAGTTAACATTGTTTTAATTCAAATCAAGTCTTTATGCAGTGAAATTTTCTATCTACGTTAGTTTAGGTACTTTCCATTCATGTGGCAAAGTTTTGGGACACTTTGTATAAATAAAACCTTATATACGAAGTTTGGTCGATTTATTTTTACGGTTTTAGTTTCTTAGATCTGTAACATTTTTGGCGGCCTCATTTCATTCACGCTATAAGGTACATTAATAAATAAACATTTGAAATTAAAATAATTTAGTTCCGTCCGTTCTGTAAGATAACAACACTGCCATTGTACTTACTACATAAACAATTAAGCATATCTTGTTAATAATTTAACAATATATATATTTAGGAATGTTATTTTTAGAACTTTTATGTCTTTGGACTTATTTATACATTCTACCTTCTTCACATAAGGCGGTGATTTTGTTAAGAATGAAGTTCCTATTTCGTAGATACTACTACTACCATTGTAACTATTTATTTATTTGGTTGAAATAAAAAATAGCAAATCTCGAAAGCATTTTATTTGACAATCCCAAGCAAATAATAATTAACCTTTGGTAAAAATGCTCCATAGATTTACGATAAAATAGGGGCAATTAAGAACTAAAACAATGAAAAAGTCCATCTAAACCATCGACTGTTTCAAACAACGCGGCCTAAAAACAGTACCTCCGCTACATCATCCCCTTTCCCTTAACTATATCTTCCATAAATTATATGAACATACAAAAGATTGCTTTCATATACCACCTAAACTTAATATATTTCTAATCATTTTTAAGTATATAAAAAGGGTATTTATCAAACACATTGGCCCGCCTGCTGGCAAGCAAGTGGCCGTCATAGATATATAGGCACGGAACGATCGTAGCGTCACCAGAAAAAGTATTTTTTTGTTAGAAAATTATCCAGTTACTGAAGCGAGACTGGGGTTAAAAACACGAACTATATATATTGAACGTATATAAAATATTTTCGTACAAGTGAATGAATATTGTTAAAAACTCTCGTTGTTTTCTATGTCAGTGTCATATTTATACAATTTCATACTTTGATCATCTGTTTGTCTTTACTTGTCACTTTTATCTCTTGTAAATATACGAGTATAGTAGAGTAAGGTCCCGAGACTGCCAGACCTTACTTATTTCCTCATGGACAAAAAATGGATAATCGAGTAGTATCAGTGTGTCTGGCAATAAAAACTGCTGAGAGAATGTGTTTGGCGGTATGAATTTCAAGTTGTTTACAATATTCTCTACAACACAAATAGGAATCAGTCCGCAGACTGTAAATTAGGTGAGTAAAATTTTTACGTGCCTGTGCCACCTAATACCAAAATAAGACCACAGCACAAGTTAGCGGATATATATATACATTCATTGTAAATACTAATACTACTCGATTATCCATATTTTGTCCATGAGAAAATAAGTACGATCCTATTATGGTCTATTATTATGGTACAGGTACTATTTTTACTGGACCAAACCAGCCTCTACCATCCTATCGTAGAACAAGGCGATTCCGAAAACAGAGGTTCTGAACTGGCAATTTGCCATCCTTTCCGGGCTATGAGGCACTCATGATCATAATCATAATCAAAATCATTTATTCAGTTTAGGCTGTTACCAGCACTCATGAATGTCGAGAAGCTACGCCATCGGTTCGTTAATCTACGGAGACCTTGGTGAAGAACCCGCAAACGGAAACTCAGCAAGGGCTGTTTTTTTCTCCCAGTTTTATTATTTACAGAGTTGGCAAGTTGAAAAACGATTTCAGAAACGATTCAAGAAGTCACCTTTCATTACATAATGTGAAGTATACATCAATTGTTCATCTTCCTTTTGATTACTGTGTCATACAATATAAATACAAATAGTGTTATTTATATTAGGAAGGTACATTAACATTTTCAATATCAAAGTAGTTAGGGCAGACTCATCTCCGCTGGCAGCACCCGTTCACGAGTATGACGCATGAACCAGCCATCGCTTCGCTCAATCATATTTTAGGGAACGTAACGACCCGCCTCACACGACACCACCGAAGAGACTTTTAAGAGAACATGACTACCCAAAACCACCTTTATTAACTACAACATCTTTACATACAATTAAAGTCATTTATCTGCAAATAATTACAAAAACAATGGAGAAACCACGACCACGTCGCGTCGTTTGGTCATTCAAATATCCTTAAATAGTCTGAAATCCTTCCTTACGTAATTAACTTTACACCTTTTAAATTCAATTATAATATTGTCAATCAAATACCGGTTGGAATGATTGGAACAGTTGAAACCCAAGCATTTTTGTCTGTAATATAATCAGACACTTTATAATAAGCTTTCTAAACAAGTGATTTTTTTATGGTCGATTTAAATTTAGTCAAGTTTAACTCTTGAATATTGCTTGGGACTTTATTGTAAAAGCGAACACAGAGACCTCCAAAGGATTTATGAATTTTGTTGAGCCTAGTAGCAGATAAAGTTAAATTATTTTTACTTCTAGTATATATTCAATGTTTGTATTTTACTAGTTTTAGTAAATAAATTAATATATTTTTAACAAATACTAAGTTTGTTTATATGTATTGTGATGCAATCGTTATTATGCCTATTTCTCTTATCTCTTAAGGATTCCTTAACTTTAAGATTATACATTGATCGATGTCGACGGAATTTCCCCACAGTAAAATACAGTAAGACATTACACTACGAAAATAACTAAAGCAGACTAATCTGGCAGTTTCTATATCCGTTAACTGACGTTTTTGCATTACAGGATATGCTGCAGAACTAAGTCTCTTCGACAACTTATCAATATGTGGGCCCCATTGCAAATGCTAATACATGTTATTTAAGCACCTATATCTGTAGAAATTAAGTTTACAATGCTTAACTAATCTTGAAATATTGTCTTGTAAATGTCGTGAATATGTACCTAATGTATGGAACAATTCTACACATAAAAATTATACATCATTATTAAATGAAAATACATTCAAAATTATCTCTATGAAAAATAATTTAGAAACAAGCTTTCATGTTTCAGTACCTTTAAGAAAAACCGCCCATCAACTCGAAAATACCATCATTGATGACACCAAAACTTTATCAATAACGCAACACGCGTCACAATGCCTTCGTCAGCAAATAAAAAAATCCTTCGAACTGCCTAAACGCATCCGTAACGTACCCTGGGTTCTGTGAACTTGTGACGCGAGGTCAATGTCAGCTTGGATCTCGCGTGCTGATATACTTAATCGCTGGGCGGCTTCTACACAGAACAGTCCGCACCGCTATAGGTACCACTCCTCACTCGCAGCAGAGGTTCAGTGCAGTGCTGTGCAGTTTGTGATGTGCTAAACAAACAATGAAGATGCCCGGAAATGTAAGTGTTGGGCAACCAAATGCTTTTCATTAGAAAATTATTTCAAAAACCATTTTATTTTTGTATCATAAATGCAAATATTTCAGGTTTCTGAATAAGGCAGAACAATAACTTACAAAATAACAATAAAACACGATATGATTAAGGTTACTACAGCTATAGCTCATTAAATAATATCAAATTGACGTTTTGACATTTTTCTATGGGTTAGATCTAGTTTTAGTTGAAACGAGATATCGCAAAATTAGTTTGAAGTAGGCCTAAGGTCTCTCTCAATTTAAGTAACACCGGATTTACACCATACAATAATGTCAACTTGAAATTGACGTTTTTACAAACTTTTACCAAATAATAAAAAAATATATAAAGATTTTGTGCAAATCTATTCAAATGATCGGTATTGTTCAAAGCAGGTCTGAAAAACAGCTGTATAAATAATGCTAATAAATGTTACTAAAGTGAAAAGATAAAAAAACTATATTGCGCCCAACCAAAGCCGTTGTAGCGAGTAGTTTAAGTTGAGTATCAGTCGAACCCAACCCCGTCGGCCGTGTTGCCCCCATGGTCAAACCAACGGTTGGTTCATCAAAATCAATCATCATCAAAACAAACTATAAGCAAATATATTTTTTTATACAAATAAAATCAATCAGAAGCCTATTTTATTAATTATGACGTGTTCAAAATGCATCAACTGGGTTTTTCATTAAATTAAGTTCAGTTGGAAGCCACAAACCGTGACACTAATCTTGATGAGTATATAAGAACTATTTGTTAACTCGGAAAGCACAGATATTCTGATATGACTAAGCGATTTTATTTTATTTCATATACTATCTTAAACAAGTATCTACTTGTGCATGAGCATCTGCTCATCATCAGCATGAACGCGCACATTAAAGCAAGCTTAGTCTTTGTAATGATGATATAACTAAAAATTATATGATAATTAATTTTATTATCTTATAATTTTTAGTTATATCATCATTACAAAGACTAAAGCTATATGATAAACTCCTCCTTTATAAGAAAAACTTTAAGATGGAAATCATGAAAACTTTTGAAATAACACCATTGAACATGGGTAGGCCCAATTATACCCTCATTTCGTGTATCCCTTGCGGGGTTGACTGTGCAAATATGTGGCTTTAGACAATAAAAAGGTTTAAAGTTACAATAAAGGAACCAGTAAATTTCGAGTCAGACTCGCAAACGAAATCCATATTATCGAACAACGCTAATGCCAACTCTTTTCTTAATTTTCTTGGGTCCACTTGCAACCATTTTGTTTATTTACGATTTAACTAAAACTAGGTTTAACCCACACAAGAATGTCAAATTGACATTGACGTTTTAATATTTTTGTATGGGTTAAATCTTGTTTCAGTAAAATCGAGATTAAGTTAACGTGGTGCAAGTGAGCCATATTTCAAATACAATCCAAATTAGCAGTCGTTAGCACCCACCAACACTGGGCCCGCGTGATGGGTCATGGCCCAATCTCCCTATTCCATCCATAGGGAAGGCCTGAGCCTCAGCAGTGGTACATTAATAAGCTGATGATAATCATGATGATGATGTTCCTTATTTATTATTATAACAATAACTAAAATATATACTGTTAAAACATTTGTTCTTTTTGTTACGGTTTATGAGATACAACCCACTGACATACCGAACGGATGTACGGAAGAGGTTTAGTAATATGCTACGGTCCCCTAAAAAAGATCGACTTCTAAAATAACTTGAGTTTATTTAAAAACTTCCAAACACTTTTTACGCTTACGATGCGTTTTTCAAGTTCATACTTATCATGCAAACTGAGCGGGTTTATAAATAAAAAGCCTTAATCGCGATTCACTCTCCCTCCTCTCGCAGGTAGCTAAAGAGCGAGAAAATATTATGATTATAAATAAAATGACGGAATTCCAAAAAGCCAGTCGAGCAGAATACGGATATATAAAGGACATTCTTAACAAAGACTTTGTACAAAAGACTAACTGGATTCCATAAGATCGTCATAAAGAGAATAATTTATAAAGAAATATTTTTATTCTTACAAAGTCAGCAATTATAATTAAAAAAAAAAGTTTTTAATTTACTGATTAATGTTTTTCGAATCGATGTTTTGTTTACTAATTAATTTTCAAATTATAAGTTTCAAAAGTAAAGCAAAACGTAGACGTCATTATTAACAATTGTAATCGGCTACTTTTATCGATTTTAAAATAAATTTTGTTTTGTAAAGCACATCCTTGTCAAATATTAGCTTAATGACCTCACTTGAGACTAGTCCCAGAACTGAAAGTAAACTAGGAAGGCTTTTTATTTTTAGATTTGAATGCGTTTAGTGCTAAGCTGGAGCACGCAACTAAAATAATGCCTATTATTTTACTCTTGCTTTGAAGATTCCTATATAATATTAATCGAGGATTACAGACGCAGAAAGGGAGTTCCATTTCCACCCACCTTACAAAATACCAAATTCTAGGGGCATTTTGTAAAGTGGTTGAAAGGATTGAAACATGATCATCATACATATTATAATATTGGAATAAATACGGTTTTTATTTATTTCTCCGTTTTATATTAGATGATAATGTTATGCGCGGAAGCATAATAGTAATTACTGAATGACATCTCATAGAAGCATTGCTCTGATCTCAAGGTGCACTTGTTATGGTAATGATCAGGAAAAAAGCGCATCATAGAGACTTGAAAAAAAAACCTAGTATTGTAGTGGTCACAAGCGGAAAAGGAACAATTAACCACAGAATTGGCATTAACACTGAAACGTCCGATGATAGATTCGCACTTTAAAAAATCATTATTATCTGGGCAGCTAAAAGCACTTGTTTAAATAGGAAAGCTAGGCCATCAGTTCGCTTCATGGCGAATGTCTTTGTATCATAATTATATAGGTTTTTTTTTGTGTTATAAAGGTTGCTAACAAGCATATGACCCGCCTGAAGGTAAGCGGCCACCATAGCCCATAGAATAGACGATAATGCCGTACCAAAAATATCAATCACGCGACACACTGAATGAAACACAATACCACCAAAAGATGAGGTGTTGTTTTACTGTGTTCTGTAAGGTGGAGATGACTTCCCCAGACGGGCGCTCCAATTCGTGCGAGAAATCCGCTATACCCTTTATCTGTTTATACTAAAAACAGATCAGTAACTCAGCAATGGATGATTTTTAATGGTGTTATCACTCTGAATACCGGCTTTATTTCTATTCACCGTTGCTCGTGTTTTGTTGAGCTGTAGTTGTTTCGAATCCCAAAACACAAGAAGGACGCTTTTAAATAAACCGAATGTAATGCAGTACCATTTATTCGGTGATTGTTCTCTATCGTCCACAAATTGCACATTTTCTTCGTCTATGTATGTTTGGATCCGTTTGCAAAATTATTTAACTTTAAAGTGCTAATTTTTGTTCGATAGCCCCTGCCCCCCTCTAAAAGCTAAACTTGATAAATCTGCAAAAATACATGATAATAGGGCTTTTCATGAACTTTTAAGGAAAATTATAACGGTTAAGATTGATTTGTTAGTTTACGGGCAATAGTCGTTCAACTTTGGTTAAAGAAAATGTCTTACCTATTAAAAATTCCTTGGAAGAAAACATTCATAGTGACATAGATGAAGCTATTGTAGCGTAAAACCGTTCCGATACAGAAAATAAAGACTCCTGCTCAAATATATTGTGGTAATGACAGGGAACTACGGAACCCTACACTGCGCAAGGCACGACGCGCACTTGGTCGGTTTTTTCTATTTTCATTTTATTTGTTAACGGTATTTTTTTCTAACGGAAAATTTTATTCTTTTTAGCTTATTGTTAATAAATATTCTATACCTTTACCCTGTGCTTCTGACTTTACCATCCCTAATTACCCTTTTACTAATTATTAGCAGATTGCCACGGTTCGCAATCTTTTGACAATTTACGATATCGCGAGATAGCTTATAATCTAACGGTATTTACAAAAATAACGGTGACGTATACAATATCAACGTATATACTTAATATTA